AATATTCATTATTTGTCGCCCCAGACCCACGTAGTTCTCTACAAAACCATCAATATTTTGATATGACTCATAGGATGGTCAATCTGAATTTCTGAATCAAACATAAACACTTGATTTTCTGTTGTTTTAACAACTCTAGTACGTTGGGCATTATCCTCGGTTAAATGCAAACTTTCTATATTTTTAAAATTGAGGATTAGAGGATGTTAACCATGAAAGGGAACTTAGGGGTCGTTAAGATCAACCTCCTCACTTGACAGGTGAGGAAACTGAGTCAGGGTAGATAGAGTCTTAGCCTTAGACAAGTTCATGCATGTCAGAGTGGCAGGAACCCACACCTTTGGGCTCCTGTGTATGTGTTCTGAGGTACAGCACACTGATTCATGCTGCCCTGGGCTGGTTAGCTGATTGCACCAGGTGTCTGGCCTGGTAACTTGTCACCTCTAACCAAGGAGAGAGGACTGGAAGCTGAATGGAGCTTCTCCTGTTGTATCCTTCCTTCTGAGCCCTGCTCCAAGCACCCTGGTGGGAGAGGAGAGTGAATGAAATGCGAGCCTTCGTGGTTTGTTCTCACTGTCATAATAAAATGCTGCTTAAGGAGTCTGCAACCTATCCCACCTACCAGGGACCTCAAGGGGGAGAGAATTCTGATTAGACATCCAGAAACACAGAGAGGGCGCATCACCCGCGGATCACTCAATTCTTTGTGCGATAACCAGACTTCAAATACGGCTTTGCCTCTCCATCTTCTATGTGTTTTCACAATGCCGAAGGGCCACCAGGAGTAGAAACACTCGGGAATCAAGCTCCCGGGCTCTGATTAGTTAACTCATTCACCTAACTGCGGGGCAGGAGGGTGCCCCTGGAGGGCAAGAGCTACGGGCTCTTCCTGAATGTCATTGACCTTGGGCACATGGAGTCCTCTACATCTGCAGCTCCCCAGAAGCCAATGTTACCTCATCATCACCAGCCCCACATCCACCCACAGCATTGGTCAGTGCCTCCTGGGCCAAGCCTGGGCTAGGTGTTTTGTGTCTGTTACTAACACCCGCCACTAGCCTTTTTCACTGACATGCATCCCGAGGCCCACGCTGTGTGATCTTTATCCCGGTGAGATCAAGTTAGAATATGCATTGGGGTGGAACAGAAATCATAAAGTATGAAGCCTGAGGATTATGTGAAAGACAGAAAGGAGCATCTCCAAGTTGACCTAGAGGATGGCCCAGGCATAAATATGCAATATTTATATTACATATTCCGATACATATCTTCTTATTTAAATCTCTAGTTAAATATTTTATTTACTTTAAATAAAAAGAGATGTGTTGAATACAGATTGGCTGGAGCTCATACACACACACGACACAAATCTCGTATGTATGTATATACATATATCTCCTATCTCATACCTATTTCATATATGAAAATAAACCTCTATATGTATATTTATATGCACACAGAATCTCTGGGACTATGGGCCTCAGCTGCTCGCACTCCCCAAGGATATTTCTCTCTCGGGCTGTGCTTCCTTTCTGGCATCCCCACAGGCCTAGAAAGGAGGCAGTGGATGTCAGGAGCCCTCATTTTCCCAGAGAAGAGGACTAACTGAGAAAAGAAACAAAACCAATGCCAACTGTAATGAGTCGGTCCGTCCATGAGGTGGTGGTGCAGTTACAACTGACACATAGGAGGGAGTAAGGTCAGGGCAGAGAGATGTGCCAATCACATGGGTCGTGGAATAATAAATCCATGCCACCTCCACAGACTCCCATCCCTGTTACGGGCAGATGCCTGGCCTTGGCCTCCCGTGGGTAGGAGATTTCGCAAACAGAGCTGCTCAGCTCCTGGACTCAGCCCAGCTGGAGACTTGGAAGCTGCCCAAGGAAAGGGACCACGAAAAGCTACGAGGAGTGCTGGCCACATCCAGCGGACTCAAGTGGAAGGCTCCCACCGCACCAGGACACCCCTCTGCGCTCCCTGGCCTGGCGGGGGGGTGTCTTCTGTGGGCTCTGACAGCTGCGGGAGCGTTCCAGCCCACGCACCAAGCCTGGCCCGGAGTCTCCAGGAGCCCTTGGCCTCCTCGGCAAGCTTCTTCTGCCCTCTCAGCACACACCTGGAGGCTCCCGTGGGGCAGAGTCTGCAGAGACAGGACCCAGGTCAGCAAAAGAGCTCCGCATACTGGAAACATTCCCTAACCCCACCCTTTGTGAGCAACTGCTGCAGAAGCCTGAACCACACTGAAATGGATATTCCCTCTCTGCATGATCTTTGAGGAGAGAAAAGATGCTATGAAAATAACTCACTCCTAAAACCTTCCCTGGGGCAACCGTCTTGCTTTCTGGTTTTATGAAGTTCCATTTCCATGTGGAAAAAAAAGTAGCCTGTCTTCACTGGAGAGAAGGGAAAAGTCACCCGGGTTGACTCTGTCTGCTATGAGCCAGGCAATTCACATTGTCACTCTCAGTCCTTCAAAGACCCTGCTCTTTGGGACCTCACGGGAGGGGGAGGGGGCGGCGGCGGCGAGTGAGGCTCTGCAAGGCCACCGTCCTGTGTCAGGTACAGAGGTGGTACAAACCCAGATCCCTTTGGCTTCCTTCACTCCATTGCCTGTTACGTAGATGCTAACAACTGGCTTTTGAATGACAACTAGTAACAATGATATAATAACACCCCTGCACATTTGGGTGGCTCTTTCCAGTACACAAATGCTTTTTGGTTGCCCAAGACCTGCTCAGACAAATCCTAGCACTGAGGCCCACCCCCTTCTGCTCTAATTCTCTCCCCCATTCCTCTCACCAGCCCCAAGCGATGGGTAACCCCTCTGAGCTGGTCCTCGCTCCCCAGCCCACTGTAAGCCTGCTGACTGATTGCTGGTGGGTGGCTGCCACCGATGTCCCTGCCCTTGGGGCTTCTGGGGTTATGGATCCTGGGTGGCCCCAGCATGATGGGGTGCTAGAAGGGGGCTGCTCCATGTAAGCCGATTTGGCCTGTCTCTCAGTTTTACCCAGGGCTAGCCTTGGCTGATGCTGAGCAAAATGTCAGTGATGAGGGTGCTCCTCAGCACAGCCTGGCTTCCTTTCCCACCTGCCAACAAAGGTGGTCTTTTGGTCAAAGCCCTTAAATTTGGAAAGTAAGTCTTTTTTTAAAGGTTTTATTTATTTATTTTAGAAAGCGAGAGAGCGAGAGAGAGCACAAGCGGGGGGGAGGGGCAGAGGGAGACAGAGACAGAGGGTGGGGGGAAAGAATCTCAAGCAGACTCCCCACTGAGTGTGGATCCTGACACAGGGCTTGATCTCATGAACCTGACATCGTGACCTGAGCCGAAATCAAGAGTTGATTGATTAACGCTTAACCAACTGAGCCACCCAGGCACCCCGGAAAATAAGTCTTACATGTAACTCCAAAGTTAAATTGGACCCAAGAGTGAATTGGATCTGCATGGAAGAGGAACCAGAAATCTAATGAGCTCTGGGGTACTTTGAGTTTGCTATGTAACGGTAATAATAATGGCGGACATTTATTGAGTTCTTACCGCAGAGCAAGCTCTGTTCTAAGTGCTTCACTCTATCAACTTCTTGCTTCACAACCCTGTCCAATACATAATATTTGTGCCCAGAAGGCACAAAGAGATGTAGTGACTTGGCCAAGATCCCACAGCTAGTAAAAGAAGTACGAATTCAAATTCGTAACCACCTCTCCGTAATGCTAAAATGGCCCCTGACCTCCCACAGCCATGCTGGACTTCTTATGGGCTCTGAAGCTCCACTGAGATCCTGTTATTTAGGGAGATCTCAGCTGAGATCCGACCCCTGGGAGAAGCCCCAGGACAAACCAATCTCCATGGACCAAATGGGTAGAGAAGTGCTATTGATGGTAGCCCATCGTGAGTCTTGAAGCTCTTCTTATTTTCAATGTGTCTTATTTTGCTCCCAAATCTTTCCTTCCTTGTCTGCCATTCAGCTACTCATCTCCAGTGCGGCCAATTGAGAGAAGGAGGTCGGAGTACCCCAAGTCATGACTCTACATTGTGTTCAAGTTTTGTTTATTTCAAGGTCAACAGTGGCGAGAATGAGGCAGTGTCCACCCTGGGGGACCATATCAAAGTATATTCTTCATCTTAGTCCCTTCGGGCTGCTATAACAAAATATTACAGACTGGGTGGCTTATAAAGGACAGAAATTTACTGCTTACAGTTCCGGAGGCTGGAAGTCCAAGATCAGGGTGCCAGCATGATGGGGTGAGGGCCCTCTTCCAGACCGCGGACTTCCTGTTGTAGCCTCACATGACAGAAGGAGCTGAGGAGCTCTCCCAGGGCCCTTTCATAAGAACACTAATCCCATTCATGAGAGCTCCATCCTCAGGACCTAATCACCCCAAAGGCCCCACCTCCTAATACCATTGGCTTTGAGGGTTAGGATTTCAACGTATGCATTTTGGGGTGAGGGGAGAAACAAACATTCAGACCATAGCACTCTTTAGTCTTCACTGTGGCCTCCCGACTCAGACTCCAGCCTGCAGTGTACACAGGTGAATTGTCCCGTGTTCACCCTTATCTTGGCAATATGGCCGTGTGGTGGTTTTGTATATTGGCCTTTTTGGCCCCAGGACACAGGAAATGGGTTTAATTGAAGCTATGAAGTGAATTTGTCGGCAACACAGCACACACCTCGCTGCATATGCTCACTCTAACAGACACCGTCAATCTAATTAGAGAGTTTGAATTATTCAAGTCCTAACCACTTAGAGCTGCAGGTCACCCAGCCTCCATGCACACATGCCAGGGTGGCATTGGATTAGGACGCAGCTGGCTCACACTGGCTGTGGCTGTGGACCCCCCAATTTGTTTGATTATAACTCATCTCAATCATGAAGTCCCAGTGCTCTCTTCCAGGCTTGATCTTGCCAACAGGAGCTCTGAATTGGCTCAGGTCCTGGATTCTGGTCCTACCTCCACAGTTGACTCTTCGGGTCTTTGGTCAGTTCTTTTTCTTCTCGGTGCCTCCATATTCCCACCTGTAGTGTGTAGCTCCAAATATTTGCTTAGGATCATTTTAGCAGCTATGAAGCGTCCTGGGAGCTTTGAATGAAAGACGCTCTATTAAAGCTTAGGAACCAAGGGACGACTCTGGCCCCATCCACACTGCTGAGCTCTGCAGGAGACAGACTGGACCCATTCATCCTTCATACAGTTCCTAATTTTATTCTAAAGCCTCACTGTTGGCCAAGGCTTGCCAGAGAACCGAGCACTCTTAGCACTTTCAAAGTATCTTCTATTTCATAGGATGGCTTTTTTTCTTTTTTCTTTCTATTTTTTTACCATTGCATATTAGCAAAGGTAAAACTATCATGCAGGAAAAAGAACAGCCATGAAAGCAAGAGGCCCTTCTCAAGGGAGATCTGCTTATTAGACCATTAAAAAGGTCAAGGGGGCCATTTTGCTTCGAGTTGGGATTTATACTATTGGTCTAGTGGGCACTTCTGGGGCCCACCCTCCATGAAGAGCAGGGTGCCATTTCTCCATGTATTTTTACATGCAGGAGAGCAGAGCTGAGAATGAATGGCATGGTATGTCCAAGGCTGGCTAGGCTTAAGTGCGAGTGTTTTTGCTCCTCTCACGTGGCCCCATTGTTGCAACCCATAACCTGCACCTGTCTTTAGGTTGTAATGATGCCATCTTAAAGTTCACATCTCAGCCTCCCTGAACGCTGGGACTCTCTCTCTACCTCCCCAAACCCCTGCCTCCAGTAGCACTTAAGAAAGAACAGTGAGTCTGTACTTACTCTTCTTGGATCCATGTGGCCCCCTTCTTCTTTGAACTCCTTACTAGCTAGCCCTTGGAGTCAGGTGTCCTACCTGGATATTATCGCCAAGCTGTGGACCTGTAAGAGACTCAGCAGTGAGTGCCTTCCTCGGGGCCTGTCTCCACTCCCTGTATGATGAGCGAGAACCCAGATGCTCAGTCACCATGGCCTCTAGCATTCCTCTGTTTCCGGGTGAGCAGAGTACGGCTTCCCTTTGCTCTTGGGGGGAAATGCAAACATCTTACGCAAACTTACTGAAGCCTTACATGGTCTGGTCTGTGTCTTCCCGTTTGATCTCATTTCCTCTTACCCACTTGTTTGCTCACCAAGCCCAGCCACACTACTGTCCTTTTGTTTCTCAGACTCACCCACGTTCATTCCTACTTTAGGGCTTTTTACTTTTGCTGACCCCTTGACCTAGTATGCTCGGCAGACCAAAATTGGTTTGTTCACTTCTTATTACTCAGATATTTGCTTAAATGTCATTTCTCAGAGGTGAATTCCTGGTGTATCTTGTCTAGAATAGCCCTTCCCACTCAGATCACTTACAGTTTGTACATCTTCACTGTCTTCAGGCTTTTAAAACCATTGACAATTATTGATGCTAAATGTGTCTCTGTCCCTCCAACACTAGAATAGAGATTCGATGAGCAGGGACCCAGTCCGATACCCTCTGTGCCATACTGCCAATACTATGTGATGTACCTGGTACTCCGTAGTCTTCCTACATAAATGTTTGTTGAATGACTCTGTGAATGAACACACTAGAAATATTTGTTGTGGACTCTAAGAGGTTGCCAGTGAGCTTTATCTCTCACACCTCAAAGTCTCTAACATCATCATTGAGAGTCCCGTCCCAACCCCTCGCTCGACCAGTGGAAGACCACGGTGCTGGACCTGGGCTGGTCGGCAGTGACCCAGTCACGGGGGCTGCATGGGGCTTGCCTATGGCTAGTAGGCCATGAAACAAAGTGTGAGCCAAGAAGTAACCTCCAGAGAGTCCCACTGGGCCACTACTCGGAGGATAGGCAGAAAGAGAAGATCTTGGGATGAAGCAAAGGATTTAAGTGGGGAAACCAGGTGAGAATGAGAGCCTGCAGCAATTTCCAGAGCCAAGGGAACAGAGCTGAAGGAACCTGGCCATGGGCCCTTTGTCAGAAGGCCTTGTTTTGGTGAAGGACTTGTTAGAGTCACTTGGTTCAGATCCACAATGACCTCCACTCTTCTTGGAGGCATGAATGGCTGTGGCTACACCTTGATCTACTGCCGAGGACCCAGTGCTAGCCCCCCGCAGTGGGTTCTAGGTGGGGGGTGGGCAAGTGCTTTGCTGATGACCTTTCTTGCTGCTGCACAGAGGGTGGATTTAGAAGAGGAGAAGTTCTCATAAGGAGACCACCAAAGAGATGATTTGGCTGTCCAGAAACAAGGAGACAAGAGTTGGCTATGGCAGAAGGAAGAGAAAGAGATTCAGGCAAGAGGAATTACTGATTCAGATTTGAGAACATTAAGTTAGATCAGATTAGACTGATGGAATGGGGAAGAAGGAAGACCCCGTGAGGACTGGGGGGATCTGAGCTTGTTCAGCTAGGCAGAGGCTGTTGTACGTCTTGACTACGCACAGCAGGGGAGGGACAGGTTGGAGGAGGGTAATGTGATTTATCTCTGGACAGGCTAAATTTGACAAACTCATAGGCCCGAGAGAGATTTTTTTTCCATAAATGGATGGAAATATAAGCCTAGAGCACACGGGGATGGAAGAAATTGCATTATTTTGAATAAAATGAGGATCCTAAGAGTACCAAGAATTTTAGTGGAAGGAGAGGGAACCAGGGGGACATTTTTCACTTGAATAAAACTAATGCTGATTGAGGTAAAGCTTGAAGCTGGAAGACAGTTTCTTATTCAAATGGAAGGTTTGAGATTTAATTTTCAGGACTGATCAAGTAGTTTCAGAAATCAGCTCTTTGCCTTACAAAGAGAGAGAGCGCAGGAGTATCCCTCAAGGGGCAGAGGCCCAGAGACCAAAACCCAAAGGGCCAGATCAGGAAAATATAGTTCTTTCCCATAAAAAAGGGAAAAGTCTCCCGTTCAGTGCAGCTGTCCTCACCATAACCACCTGTGAAGAACATTTCGTGCATGTCATTCTGGGGAAAAAAATCATATTTTTAAAAAATCACGTTATTAATACTAAACATGAAAGCAAAAGCAAATTAAGGTCTCTTTTTGCCTCCATGTAAAGAAAAACAGTGTCAGAAATAAAAACAGTAAGATAACACACAAAGATGGAAAAGCAGATCAAACCTCAGCGAGCACACACGAAACTAACACGAATAATTGCTAACTATGCGAAGTAGAATACAGAACAAAAGGAGTCCTATAAGAATCCCTCCACCCCCTGTGCCCCCATTTTTTTTTTTTTAAATGTGAGGAAAGAAAATAATATTTCACAGGCCGGTGTTCCAGCAATGAGAGACTCTTCATGCTGTAGCCTGGGTCCCTTCTTGCTGAATTCCTGGTGTAAGCTCTGGGCCAGGGCTGAAAATATCAAGGAATGGGAACAGTCAGGAGATAGGGGTGAGGCTAGCAGGCAGCGTGTGGGGCAAGGCAGGTGGGAAGCAGGGCAGGTCTTAGTGAAGAACAGGAGGGGAAGCTCCTGGGGTCAGAGAGCAGAGCTGATGGCCTTGAGGGGCTGGAGCCCCTGCTGTGGCCTCACAGGCTACCCCCACCTTCCCCTAGAAATGGGTGTTTTCCTCTAGAAATGTAGAGTGACAGAGAGTGGATGCTCATATTTCTTGAAGGTCTTCGAAGGCCTCCAGACAGTGTGGACCAGGAAGTAGGAGGGGGTTTGGTAATCAAATCAACTTGAGGGATACTGGCTATAAAACCTGTTTTGAATTCACAATGCTCATTTGCATATTCAAGGCTCTGAGAAGTCCTGCTTTTAAAGAAGCCAGTTTAATTAACCCCACAGAACATGCCCAAAAGCTAGAGACCCACAAAACATGCTTTATTTTTGCTGCTTTCAGGTTATTATTCTAAATAACAAGGATAATATTAATGGTCACAAATTTGATTTGGCTGATCTGATGGGCTGGACCCATCTCCTCTCACTGTCCTCTGTTTCACCTTGCCTGTTATATTGAAGGGAAAAATTTCCTCCGAGGAAGATCTCTGAGTAGTTACATGGAAAACCGCAGTACTCATTATCATGTTTCTGTAGAACATCCTGTATGTTGCAAGCACTTTCACAGAAATCCTATTACTTATCATCTCTTGCTATAATATAGTGGTATCACGTAGGAAGCTGAGCTGGTTCCATTCTAGAAGCGCAGCAAAAACAAGTTTGGTGCCCGGGCGGTTTAAAACAGCAAGCTAAAGTTTTAGGATGATTAGATCCCTACTTGCCACAGCAGCTTTGCTGGTCAAGAGTCCACTCCCTGGCTGCTTTGGAGGCGTTTCTCCCACTGATTTCTTCTCACGTTTGACATCTAATTTCTCGACTACCCCTAGGATGCTGGCTAAACAGGTAGTTTTATATTTATATTGGAAGACCCAAAATTCATATTATTTTTCAGTTCCTTGCCGAGTTATCTGATTATTATACCATTGCCAACAGGATCAAGACCAAATGCCTCAACTTGCCTTCATATCAGACAGCAACCCCGCTTCCCGACATCATGGCCGATCACTTTCCAGCATTGTGTTCCAGTTCCCCCCAACCACCTGCCTTTTCCCTAATCAGCCATGTTTCCTCCAAATCCTGCCCCTCAACACACCCAGGCTGTGTTCTGTTCCTGGCTGTCCTTTCCCTCCTCCGCCTGCAAGATCTGCCCTAACCCCCCGGGGCGCAGAGCTAGTCGCTTCTTTCTCCGGGTCCCACAAGACTCTGTACCTAGTGTTAGATAGTGCCAAGCAGTTTAAAATTGTCCATGTATCTTTCTGGTCCTTCCTGAAGGCAGGGAGGGCATTAATTTCATGTATCGTGGGAGCCCCTGGGCTCTCACAGTGCTTGACAGCACGTAGATGATGCTTAAAAAACACTCGTGAATGGATGATTCATTTAGACCCTGTGTTTGACTGCACAATGTCTGGATTTAAAAGCTTGCCAGCAACCAACTGAGCATGGTGAGAAGGAGGAACCAAAGCCGGCGCTGACCACACTAGTGGGTGGGGGTTAGGACAGGCTTGGGCCCAGGGGTGCCTAGGAAAAACCTCAGGGGGGTGGGGAGAAGTATATACGAGACTTTTAAAAAATGCTTTTCAAAAGGAGAAAATGGATTAAGAGAAGATGAGAAACATGGCCCAGAGGAAGAATGCTTTCCAAGTGGGCCACACTGGATGGAAGATGGATGAAGAGATGAGACAAAGGACAGTACCCAGGCCCACCTGCCCGGGTGGGGGATGGGGTTCCTCCCACATCCCCAGGGTCTCTCCTTGGCTCAGGGACCACATGGCAGGGTGGGGTGGAGTGGGTGGCAGGCTGAACACATGGCACACCTTCAGCCTTCACAGGATAGATGGGGCTCATAACTTCTCCCAGAGAGGAAAGAAAACTAACAGATTTTTTGTTACAGCTTTTCACCCATTTTTATGATGTTTCCTCTTCATATTAACCTTTGATTATTTGATTAAGATCTCGAGGAATAGCTTGGTTCATTCTGAACTCAGTCCACCCTTGCTAACTGTCCTAAGAATTCCTGAACTCCAAGGGACCTCCACCAAGTGTCCAGACATTCTGCTCAGTCATGCAAACAGCCCCTGGTAATTCCAGGCCAGTGGCGAAGGCAAGGAGCAAACAGGGCAAGCAGGGGAGATGGTGCTTTCTTTCTGAGATGATCCAAACCGGGGAGTCGGAGCCAGTCATTACGTGATGTTTGTTTACAAAAACTGCTTTCCCTTTTTTAAGCCTAAAAATCCAGCTGTGCGCAAAAGGAGACCACAGGTGATTGCAATTAAAAAGGACTTCAGAGTTAGTTTACTTAGCTCTTCCTGTCTCTTCTCACAAGGTGGAAATCAACCTCGGGGGAAGTGGAATTCAAACATCTATAACAGATTTCATAGACGTCTGCAGCTACTCTCCTCTGGAGAACTTAGGCTCGGTTTAAGGTACTTTTAGATCGCCATCATTTTCTGATTTCTTCCTTGAGAAGCAGGACAGCAAATGCAAGGATGGGAACAGAAGTAAGAGGAACAGGCTGAAGCAATGGACACAAAAGAAGAGTGGGTGGGAGATCCTGCCTGAGCTTATCTAGATAATGCCACTTATTTAGAAACCAATCCTCGTACAGAGGAACCACCACCAAATATTGAAGAATTACGGGAAAACATTGAGTTGCCCACTCATCAACAGATCCAGTGATAAGGATACATATCTTAATTGCGAACTCAATAAACATCATTAAACACCTACTCGGTACTAAGTCCATGGGGATTACATTAAAAGTAAGGATATAAATAGGAACAATGAGAAGACTGACATTTATTGAGGGCTACGGCTTTCCAGGCGCTGTGCCAAGTATTAGCTTATTTAACCTCAAGAGTAAGTACGAATGTTTGCCTATTTTATTTTACTTCATTTATTTATTTTTAATGTAGGCTCAACGCCCAGCGTGGGGCTTGAACTCACGACCCTGAGATCAGAGTCACATGCTCTACTGACTGAACCAGCCAGGCGCCCCCTGCCCATTTTCTAGGCAAGGAAACCAGGACTTAGGACAATGAAGCAACTTGCCCGAGGTCACCCTGGGAGGTGGCAGTGCTGAGTGGCTGGCTCAGGTCAGCCTGAATTCCTGACCGTTTGTTTTAGTGACTCCTGTGAGACTCAATCACCGGACCTTGGAGTCGAATGGTTGAGGCACACCCGAACAGAGTCCGTACGATTAGGACTTCCAATGGGAAAGGGGATGGTTCAGGAAGGTCACAGGAAGGTGACACCAGGGCAGGAGCTTAAAGGATGAGGAAGGGAGATGGGTGAGGGAAAGTTGGCTTTCGGCACGGTGCCAGGATAAACAGGAGCATCCTACCTGATGCCGCAGAGGAAGCAAATGGCGCTAGAGTTAGGGCAACCACACCCCAAGGGCTCTGATTTCAGCCTAAAACCGGTTCAAGAAAGAAAACAATCTTGACACGATCAGGATGAGGAGCGAGATCTGTAGACCACTGGGGAAAATGGCCCGTGGCCATCAGAGCGCACTCCTCGTGTAGGTTGGTCCATTGCCGCCTTCCCAGGTAGCCAGCTGGACGCTGCTCTGGGGGAGACTAGACGGGGGCGTGTGAGGGTGGGTGCAGCTAGACAGAGCTGCCCAGAACCAGGGAAGTCACTGAAGACAGTGTCAATGAGTGCATCTTCCCGAGAGCAGCCTCCCGTTCCCTGGCCCATGGCTGTATCCAGCCTCACCAGTTGAACAAAACGATATGCCGCAGCCAGGGCATCAGGAAGAAAGACAAAATGAAGGCTGTGTCCACAGGGGCTCTTCATGCCCAAGGCTCTGCTCATCACTCTGTGCTTGCTTAGGTAAGTCATTGAGTTCCCAGGACAAAGACCAAAAATCACGGTCCCCGGTCACCCGTGCGGCCCCAGGCCCCGCTCATTGTCCCTCACTGCTCCTTACAGAGGCATTCCTTTTCTCTCCCCCACCTACCAGATTTCCTCCTTCTCCCCATTGTCTGCTGTTAATGGTCTCGCATGCTCCCTCTTTCTTTCTTCTTCCAGTTTCTTCCATCAGCCTCTGGTGGACTGGCTTCCTGGTGGGCAGCTCCAGACCCAGGCTTTTGCTCTGGAAGGGCAACATCCCTTAGTGGTTCCAGGCCACCTAACTCTGAATTTCCTCCCGGAGCCCGGCTAATGCAGAGCCCTGGGCCCCGCCCCAGACCCACTGAAGCCGAGTTGCTGAACCAGAAGCTGCCTTTGAAACAACTCTTCCAGGGCATGTTGTATGCATTACAGTTTGAGAGTCACTGCCCTGGGGACAAAAAGCCTGGAAACTTTCTGGTCTCTGAGGGCCTCCTCCCTCTTTCCCCTGCAACCTTCTCTGGTACCTGCAGATGCAGAGTAGAGAGGCCCAGGGACAGCACAGGGTTTATCCTTTCTCTTGCTTTGCGTTTACTTCTCTGTCTCCTCTGCTAGTCTCTGAGTCTCTGAGGATGGGAGTCATGCTCGACTCAGCTCTCAGACCCTGGGCCTCGGGTGGTGCATGGTCACCGTGGACACTTCACCCATGTTTGTGGAATGAATACATTCTTGATGTAGGGGGCATTCCCCTCCCCCCCTCCCATCTCTTCCCCTACCTTCTCCTCCTCTCCTTTCTCTTGGGGGCCCTCTTGGCCTTGGGCACGAAACACAAATGTTTTAAGAGGTGGTTAATGTTTAAAGGGAGACAGACAGAGGCATGGCAATAGTGGGTTGCTCAACGGACAAACAAATCCACCTTCTTCTGTTCTTTCCTAAGCCAACAGGAAGCAGCCAAAAGTCGGTCACTCACCCAGCAGTGGCTCAGACAGGCCCTCCTGCACAGCAATTGCACAATGTTGCTGCAGCCGCCTGAGGCTATAAATAGTCTATCAAGAAGCCCCATCTGGGATCCGACAAGCCCGGTGGGTTGCCCCTTCAAACAAGTGGAGAAATTCCTTTTTTTTTTTTTAAGCGTCACTTTATAGAATCTAAGCCTGGGGCCAAGTATTCCATGTTCACCTTCGAGTTCCACCTGCTGCCTCAGGTTATGACTACACGTTAGGGTCTCTGCGGGGCTCTGACTCTTCCTGCTTACTATTAGCTGATATGTCACCCCGGTCCCGCTGCTGTCGTGATGATAATGGAGGTGTAATTCGTTAGCAGACCCTCCCTTTTTTCCTTATTTCTACAGCCCCTACTCTTGCCTAGTCTCTTCTTATCTCTTGTGTGGGGGCCACTGTTCTGCTTTCCATATTGATTGGTGGCCCTACCTCTCTCCAGCCTACAAGATCAATTCTCCTACACACTGGTGCTTTTTGTGCTTGTCCCTGTTTAGAATTTTTCAATGACTTCCCATTGCTTAAAAGAGTGGCCTCCAGGGCTTTCAATGCAAATTAATGTATATATGTATTTATAAGTTAAATACATGTGCTACTAATGATCCATAGGAAATATTAGAAAAGCTTCCTTTCGTTGTTAATTTCTGACAAACATAAATTACTATAGGAGTTCTAATATTTTCTACTCCGGTGGGTCATGTTGAGCATCCCACAGTGGACACCACTGAGGAGAGCTGAGATTAAATCAGTTTGCTGGGTCGTCAAAGCCTTACAAAACCTAGTTCCAGGACATTCATTCACTCACTCAACATTTCTTAGACACTATGATGGCCAGGCACTGGGCTAGGCTCAGAGGGTAATAATAAGTAGTCACGGCTCCTACAGATGAGGAGCTCTCTCAGACTAATGGAGAAGATAAATACATAAGTAAATAACTCTTTGAGAGTCATATGGGCCATCATAGAAGTTTGCACAAGACCTTAATGGAGGAGAGAGAAAAGAAGTAACTGCCTGGGAGAGTCAGGAAAGTCTTCACAAGGACCATCTGAGCTGGGTCTTGAAGGATGAGTGGAAGTTCATCATGTCACAGAAAAGAAAAAGGGCCCTCCAGGCACAGGGGAAAACATAGGCAAAAGCAAAAAGGTAAAAAAAAGAATATAGTACATTTGAAGAGTGACAAGAAGTTCTCAGAGGCTGGTGGGGTATGTGGGGAGTGACAGAAGATGGGGCTTGGAAGGGAAGGTTGAGATCAAATCGTGGAAGACCTTGTCTGCCACACCAATAAGTTTGGATTTTATCCTGAAGTTAGTGGGAGTTGTGAGATGTTTTGACAAACTATATTCCCCTCAAATGTGTTCTTACCTATCTTCTCTATAGGAGTAATGGAATATGAAGTAGGAAGAAGGAAGTCAGCTGTTTCTCAGGGGGGTGTGGTATACCTTCCCTTCTACTCCCTGTATGTGCTACTCATCGGCTAGCTTTTCACTTCCAAAGTATTTTCCTTCACACCTGAAAATGGTGCAGAGGACTGCCATCTCTACGATGGGTACCTTGGGATGGTCTGCCCAGGAGGATGCCAGACTCATCCTAAGCCATCTACACTTCCCCTCTTGTGACGAGGGGCAGGCATTTATAAGATCCTTGGTCTATGTTTGCAATGGCCTGCGTTCAAAGCCTAGAACTCTCCTCTGCAGAGGAGAGCTTTACTCCGTGTACTGTTAGAACAGTAGTGTTGAACTTTTGGCCCTGTGTGCTAACAAAATGAAAAGATCATTCAGAGGGAAAACATGGGATTGAATTAGAAATGATAGCGATCCTCATCTGAAGTGGAAAAAGACTTCCCAAGGTCATAAAACTGAAACGACACACCTGAGGCGTAGCTTGTGGGGCTGTGACCATCAGGGCAACTGACGTCCTGGGCAACAACGGGATGTGGTAGACAATGGACTGAACAGAATCAGACTGCAGTGCTGGTCTTAGCTCTGAGCACCAGTCATCTTCCTGAAAAGCTCATACCCTTTCTGGCTCTCCATATCCCCCTCTGTCAAAAGAAGGTATGAGATGGTTGCTATCTCAGAACCTGGTTCCAAAGTGCTGCACCTACTTCCTCCTATCTCCACAGAGGACCAACCAAAGCAAAATTTATCAGGTCAGCACTGCCTCTTTCTTGTATGGGTAACATCGGAAATCGGGCCGCTTTCGTTCTTCTGGGCTAGATAAGGATACTGATCTGCAGTTTTAATTTGGAAATTCTTCAGAAGGGAAGAGAATGAAGCAAACATTCTTTGTGCTCTGCCATTCTCATCCAGCCCACATTCTGCAGCTCTGCTAATGTCTTCAAACAAGAAATGAGGACAAGGGCAGAGGAAAGGGACAGGCAAGGGGAAGCGGGGACCCGACACCTCATCAGAGGCGGAAGGAACGAGAAACCATCGCTCCACCCAATCGTGAAAGTTGACTGTAGCGCCTCGAGTACTATGTTTAAATAGTCTCCTCTTTGCAAATGAGAGGGATAACGTCAGCTGATCTCATTAGGGTATTACAGGAGAAATAATGACACAACTTCAGAACGCATTGTCAACAAAGTCCCGGTGTGCGCCAGTTGCCACAAGCAACACGAACTGCTTCTTACATGGGTAGTAGTTGCCCCCAGATAAAGTCCTTCACCCCATTTTTCCTGCAGGTGCTATGCCCGGGCAGCATTAGCTTGATAGGCAGGATGGTCTGCACAGGGTTTTGTTAGTACAAGGGCCCAGTGAACCTCTTAAGTCAAGTTGAGGCTGAAGGCCGGCCTCCGGTTGAAGGCTCCTAAGCAAGTCAGCATGGATGCTCTAGTCTAGGCAAGGAAGAGCTCCGTGAGCAGCAAGAGATTCAAGCAGCTCTTGAACAAGATGGCCTTAGGTTCAAGGAAGTTCACTAGCGGAGGCTCCAAGAAAGACAACGGATACGTATATTTATTTGTAGTCATATACTACTGATATATCATTTATTTATTAATACTTATTTATATTTAGATGTATCACAACCACTGGAGGGCTGACCCGACCTCGGGCCCTCACCTGCTCTCTGTCTCTAGCAGAGGTTGGCAAACTCTCTCCTGTGCTCCAAATGCTGCCCAGGGTGGGTTTTTGTGCAACCCAGGAGCTGAAATGAGTTTTACATTTTTAAAGGGTTGCAAAAAAATCCACGGAGAAGAAAAAATAACGGAGACCTTATGTGATACACAAAGCCTAAAGAATTTACTAGGGGGCCTTTTGTGGGCAAGCTTGCCCATCCCGGCTCTCAAAGCCTTATTGGCCTCTCGTGTATAACATGATTTATGGTTGTTGTTTTTTTTTTTTTTTTGTCATTTCATCCTTACAGCCACCCCGTGAAGCAGGTAGGACGGTTGTATGATGTCCATTTTAAAGGGTGAGGACACAGTAGCCCGGGAACAGTTACATAACTGCTCCAGGGTCACGGCCGCGGTCATAAGGCTGGGAATAGACCCGAGGTCTCATTCCCCATCCGGGACTCTCTTATCAGTACATCCCAGAATCACTGACCCAGCTCATCTTCACAGGGCAAAAAAAAAAAAAAAAAAAAGGTTGAACTGCATCCTTTGATTCGAGGGTATTGGGTCTGTCCGCCCTTTCTTAGCAGGCAGCTCGGTGGGGGAAATCAAGAAGAGTATTTGGAAATGCTAGAAATGTTTAACTAGCCTCATTAGAGATTTAAACAGGTCGGGCAAGAAAAGTTCACCTTCCCTGGCAGCCGATGCCCCGGCGCTGCTCGCTGCTCGCTGCTCGGAGCGGGGCCACCGCGCACACCCGGGGGCCGCGTCCCTCCCCCGCCTTCTGCATTCCCACTCCGTGCGCTCCCCTCTGCCCCGTGAGCTTGCGCGGCGGGGAGCAGCTGCGGGCCATGAATGTCCGCATTATCCTCCCGCGGGCTGTCAGCAGCAGCAGCTGGTGGGGAGCGCCCGCGTCCCTGATGTAAACAGCCAGCCGGCCTGAGTAGCAGCTTGTTCTCCCCGCCGCCTGGGCAAGGTCTCCCTGACCCGGGGACCGCCCCCCCCCTCCAACCGCGGCCCCAGGCCTGAAGAGGGGCTTTGTGCCCTTGAGTCAGACCTTAATCCCCTTGCCTGCTACCGAGGTAGAGACCTGAAATAAAGACCCCACGTAAGGCTGGTGTCTGCGTCACCTGCAGGCAGGAGGAACCGGCGCTGCCAAGACAGAGGCCTTGTCTGCCTGTGGGGGATGATTTAGGAAGTTTCCATACTGGGCGCCCTGAGGGGCTCTTCTAAGAACTCACACTTCCAAGTCCTCAAACGTCTTCCTACTCGCCTGCTGTGGCGTGACAGAGTGCCACCCTCAGAGACAGTCCCCTAAGAAGCAAATCGGTTGGGTCATTACTAATTTAGTCATTTCGGTCATTTTAGTAAGTTAGTCCTTACTGTGCCCAGACCTGGCTGCTAGGGAAGAAGAGAGAAGGGGAAAGGGGGAAGACAGGCAGAAGTGGCCTCCTGCTGATGCAGTCGGAGCCTGGGAGCTCAGAGGATGTGGCTGAAGTTGCAAAGGAAGGGGGTCAAGGTCAGGGGGAAGCCGTAGCCCTGGGGGTGGGGGGTCCAGCAGGGGTGACGTCTTGCTCTCCTTGTATCTGGCTTTGAGATGTCCTCCTATGTCCTCTTTTTACAGTGCTTCTAACCTAAGAGAATCTTCTCCCTGCCTCCTTGTCCAGTCACCTTCCTCCCATCTGCACCCCAGCAGTGGCCCCGTCCTCCCTCCTTGAGCTCACAGAGGGGCCTTTGCACGCCTAGTTCCGGATCGTATCCTAAA